CAGCAATTTTTCAGCTCTGATGCTGGCTCTGACTTTTTTCTGCAAGTGTAGAAACAGAATGTGCAGAAGGAGCTCTGCCAGGACTCACCATACTGTTACCATTACCTGTTTCTCAATACCCAGAAAGTGAGATGAGCTTTCTTATCTTGGTGTGATTCGCATAAACTTTTTAGAGAACAAAAGGACATACTACATAATATTATTCATAAGCTTTTCTTCACTCTGCAACAATTTTATCTGTGGTATTTACTCTTAGTTACATCTCACTTTTGTATTACCTGGTCTGGTTATCTCCTCAGCTTGATGATGTGGGAACTGCAAGCCAAGGCAGCTTTCCTGTACTCCTGAAAATCAAATGTATAGTTGAAAGCTTTATGTGAAACATGACAATGGCCTTTTCCTGTTTTTTATTATTTCAGCAGAAGTACATGTATCTTCATGAAATGCATCAAGCTTTTATATCTGTAAGTGTAGAAGGCATAAATCTCACACATACTGCTGTTTGTATTTTCTGTAATGTGAATAGATCTAGAACTCTCATTTGCAGTGTTATTGCAAATTCTACCGTCTAGCAACTATCGTAACATGATCAATTTAGCTGTTATATTAGTATCCTGCTAGAGGAGCCGGGGAGGAAATAAGGTTTCTTTATGAGAGAATGAAGGTGGAAGGATAAAAAGTCTTAAATAACAGCATATTCATGTTTAGCATTCTCTTTTTATATAAGAGGTTTGAAATGTTCCACAGGGACGATATTTGGTCATCATTGAGAGAAATCTTTTCAACTGCCTGAATATAGGCTATGCAACACCACTTGTGTACCTCCTCATCTCTGACAGATCGTTTAGTTAATTAACAGGAATGTCCGTCAATGAGATGAATGTGAGAATCTAAATAAGTGGCAGTCAATATCCAGAGACCTTTACCTTTGTAAACTGTATTTGGAAGAGATGTGTAACTGTCAAAGGACCTGCCTGACAACGTGCATTGATGGGATTATGCAGATGTGCCTCTGCTTCTTGCTGAGAGGTTCTCGAGGTTCTCAAGGTTCTCATGAGACTTACAGTATAAAGAAAACCATTAATGCACCAGCACAAAAAAAATCAAAGAATAGTCCAATAACAATCACAACAAGGATCAGCAGCCACCATTAGCAGAGGAACCAAAGAGAGCAGTTGTAAGCCTTGTTACTGAACAGAGAGGCTGAAGGAAGAGTGAAAATGGTAGTTTTCAGGGAATATAGGCATATTGATGTGGGTAGGAAGTCACTCCTGCCAGGATTTGTCACCAATTACTAATGCCCATGCTGTAAGGGGGAACCATAATTAATTATTCAGCACTGTGATATCACTCTTCCCTAGTTTCCTCAGAAAGAGCTTACAAGAACAAACCCTGATAGCTGTGTATACAGTCAGTTAAAGAAGCTGTCAGCTGTTGGTATTTCTACATGGGCAGTTTTTGAGAGATGTTGCTAAATTCTTCTTACTCTTCTTGTTCAGGTTTTCATCTCTAATTTGGGGGGTGGAGGGAAGAAAAAGAAAGCTATTCTGACCGCGTACATCAGAAGTGTTGCACCTTTGATGATGGCAGCTACAAGATTTCATGTCCTCTCTAAGCCTGCTTTATCTTGTATGTCAAATACTGTATTACAGCCAAGTAACTACATTCAAAGCTGTGAGAACAAGTAGTTTGTCAAAATTTTTGGTTATCTGGGTATTTAATGGAGTTTTTTATCTTTGATGTGAATAACTCAAGCGTGTATACTTCAAAGCTGCCCCCTGAAAATGTTATAGTAGTTCAAAGAACATTAACACCAAAGCGGATGAGGGTTTTTAAATGTATCTGAGCATTTCTAGAATATAATTATCAACATGTCTTTATCTTTCATAATAGTGCATTTATTCTAAACACCAGAATCAAAAGTAACAGCATGATGTTCTGTTTATTTTGTAAGCTAGCCAGATTGGTTTACTCTGCTCATTTTGTAAGAAATTATATATTAGTATATGGGAAAAAAATGGGACTAAAGAAACAGATCCATGCAACATATGTTCAGACAAGGTTTGCTGATGCAGGTAGCAGTGACCAGGAATCCCAGGTACCGGCCTCTTTTGACTAAAGGAATTGTAAGATCATAGAATCACAGAATGGTTAGAGTTGGAAGGGACCTTAAAGATCATCCAGTTCCAATCTCCCTGCCCTGGGCAGGGACACCTCCCACCAGACCAGGTTGCTCAAAACCCTGTTTAACCTGGCCTTGAACACTTCCAGGGATGGAGCAGCCACAGCTTCTCTGGGCAACCTGTTGTAGTGTCTACCACCCTCACAGGAAAGAATTTCTTTCTAGTATCCAATCTAAATCTCCCCTCTTACAATTTAATATCACTACCCCTCATCCTATCACTACACTCCCTGATAAAGAGTCCCTCCCCATCTCTCCTGTAGCCCTTCAGGTATTGGAAGGCCATTATAAGGTTTCCCCAGAGATTTCCCTCCAGGGATGTGAACTACTCTGAACTCCAGGAGACTGTACTGAGATGGAAAATTTTGTACATGTTTCTGTGGTTTTAGGCAACTAGTCATATATGGTAGAGTGTAAGGTGTATTATATGTGGTGTTATGACTGAGATAATGGTTTACTTTTCCTTTGTCATAAAACACATGCTTTTTCTCTGCTGTATTTGCTCTCTCCGCAATGCATATTCCACTTCTGTGTTACTTCCAAAAATATTATTATGTAATGTTATAGGGGAGTCGGTTATTTGCTCATCTGGATAGGGAATCCTGTTAATTTTAGAAGGTGTGTGTAATAAAATTTCATCATTGGCAGAGACCTTTTCATGTTGTTTTACTGTGTTTATTAGATGGAGAAAATCTCTGCATTAGGTTCAAAGCCAGAAATTGAGCCGGGTGCCTAGGTTGCTTAGATATTTTGAAAATCCCACTCCGCCTCTGCAGTTTTTTGGCACCTAAATACCCTTGAAAATCTGGCTCAAGAGATATTACAGTAACAGGAATGAATATAATAATTTATGTTTTTCATGCCAGAAAGATTTTACCAGCACTAAGCATCTTGATGTTACACTGGGGGAAATTATATGTTTAAGAGCACTGAATTAATTATGACATAAAATAAGACTTTGTTTAACATATGTAAAGAATCTTTTCTCAAATACATTATTCCATGTAGGGCTTGAGATAAAATAAAGTGTTTTACTAAGCCTAGGAAGGCCCTGAACAGGGAGATGGCCAGTGCTCAACGATTGATTAGTAGTCTGGAAAACATACATGGAGCAACCAAAACAGATTGCTCAGCCTTCATGCTAGACCCATTGCTATTAATTTTTTTTCTTCCTTGCTGCTATTCTTTTGCTTAAGCCTCTTAACGTCTGCTTGTCCATTTCCCAGTTCCTAGGAAAATACCTCATATAATTTCAAAATAACCTTGCAATGATTTATGTTGACAATTTTAATGTTATGAATTAGAAATACGAATAGATCTTTTGGCTTCTGGATTGTCCTTGGACAGGGGAAGAAATGACTGGAGTCTAGTCTATATACTGAACTATGTCTGTATTTTCTTCATGGCCTCAGGAACACCCCAGTGTTGAAAGCTCTATATTAATTTTTGATGGTTAGTTTCTGTTCTGATGAAAACTTTCTTCATATCTGTGATAATACAGTTGAATCAGCAAGAGCTGTAGGGCTGGGTATAATAATACTTTTACAGTAATACTTTTATAATTTAATTTTAAACTCATGGCTGTAATTGCAGGAAACAGGTTTTGACTCATTTTTCCATAACTCAGGTTCAGTGATTGAAAATAAAATTGATAGATCTGACTTATACAGGATTTTTCTACCTTGCTTCCTCTCCTGAACATGAACAATGAGGTTTGCAAGATATAACATTTCTGACACATTTTGAAGGACTGGTAAAATCCAAATTCTCTGCTACACTAAAAATAGAAATCCTACTTGACACGGAAATAGGGATATTTCCCGCTGAAGGAGATTTGTGCTGAAATAGATGCACACGCTGTAAACTTCGTTGTTGGTGCTCACTTTGCTTTGATGGAAGTTCAGGGTGATACCTACCTGGATTCAACACAAAGTCTGCAACAAATTTTAGCATAGTTCTCTGATTACCAATACCCATTCATCTAGGTGAGGATGGCACCTAGCCTCCATAATCTCCTCTGTAGTTGTCTGAAGGTCACTGGGTGCTTAAAAGCAGGAAGGTAGTTACATTTTCCCTACTGAACCTGCCACAAATAGCAGTATTTCAGGGCAAAAAGTAGACAGCAATATTGGCAATGTGTGCCAAAGGTATATTTGCTAACACTTTTCTCATTGTCTTTCATTGCCTTATTATCAAAACAACAAAGGATTTCTTTTATTGTAAATTCAATTTCAAAAGCTTATTTTTTGTTTGCTCTCTTAAAAAAACCTATCCCTTTTAAATCAAATTAATTACACAGAAGTAGAAAGCATACAGGCTATTCTACAATATACTGTACTGCTATACTGTTGTTTAGTTGTGTTCTGGGACATAGTTCCTAACTAACGATAGGAATAATATTTTATTCTTTTTTAATAAATAGAAAATGAATGTGCCCTGCAATTTGGAAAAGTAGTATTTGGAAAATATTTGAAAGCAGAAATTGATGGAATGGGCCATTAAACCACCTGAAGACCTGGTTGACGTTTTGAGATAATTTTGCTATGAGCAATATTATTTGGGTAAGGTCTTTATAGGTAATGGCTGTTTTAAGGAATTAAAGCACATTTGCACCTGACTGGAGTAGTTCTGTGCAAAAAATCCCAGCTGGTAGAAAGCAAATGATGTTTCTGCTTGTGTAGCACCTGTTTTTGATTTCAGAGAGGAAACAGAAGAAAATTACTTCAATGGGTGGTGACGTTAAATACAGCTGCTGCCTGGCAGAAAGCACCTTATCTCCCTTTTACCCAAGTGAAATTGGGTACTTCTGCCTTGCACCATGGATAGAACCAGAGCTTCAGTTGTATTCTCCCAGAGGAAGAGACAGAAAGAGATGCATTCCCCAAACCTTTCCTGCAGTTATGAAATAAAGTTCAGTAACCTTGTCATTTTTATTATGCAGAGGAAGATGGGAATGACCAGAAGGACCTTCTTGATGGAGCTGGCAAGAAGAAAAGGTTTCAGAGTAGAGAGTGAGCTAAGGTAGGGAAATGTTTATATGCGTAGAAATAACATGTAGTAACAATACTGCTGCTTGAAGCATTCTGATTTCATAAATGCAGTCATATAAGTGACTGTGGGTTTTGCCTGTGTATTTGGTGGATATACTTCGGTCTTCCCACTGTAAAGATGCTTCAGGAGTTCAGTGGGCGGTCCTGAATGAGTTAATTTCTATTGTCTTCTGAGCAAAGAGCAGGCAGAACACAAACATTAGCAAAATTTCTAATTTTTAACATCTAAAATTTGTGGTTCTCATTTATCTTTAGTCTGTTAATTTTAATGTGTCTGTATTTTTCAATGTGCTGCTTCTCGCATGGAAAATAAAAAATGTAAGGTGTGAACTTGCACATGTTTTTCATAGGATATGTTTCTATGCATTTGGATTGTCCTGCTGGAATAGATGAATCAGGTCTTCAGCTGATGTAAATCAGCCATCATTTATTTCCCTCTTGAAATCAGGTTAAGATTAATATAAACTGAAATGAAAAAAAATTAAATATACAGGAATGGAAAATGTGATGGGTGGAGGGGGGCGTTTCTCTAGAACATCTCTGGTATTCTAGTATGTAATCTTCTGTGAATATTTAATCTTCACTGATGTGAAGCTATTGGCATACACATTGGTACAATATGGAAGAGCACTGGAGAAAAAAGCCTAGGAATAAAATATCACAAATTTGGCATTTCAGTGTGAAAACATACTCCAGCTACGGATTTGTCCGGTGGTGTTTCAGTAAGCCAATTCGTTTTAAACTTCCTCCAAACAGAACTTTTCATGAGCGCTAGTTATATCATTATACAGTTTTCTGAAAGCTACATCATTATGTTGGTTCTCTGACAAGCTGGAAGAATACTAAGTATTTATCATTTCTCTGTATCTGTATGCAGATAGTATACAACTGGGTCCAGGAGGATAGGGATATAAAAGCTCATTTCCACAGATTTTTCAGTCCTATCAACTTTGAAAGCCAGAGGAAGAAGGGAGGATGAAATAATTTGTGAAGCAAGATTCAAGCAGGTATTGAACAGAAGTAGGCAATTAGCATCTGATACAAAACTAATGGAATTCTCAGGGAAAAAAAAACTGAACTGGGCTGTTCTGAATCCTACATTAATAATACATTAAGGACTGAGTAGAGGCTTTATCTGGGCTGCTTTGGCACAGAGGTATTTATTGCCAATATTCTAGACTTTCTGTAAGTTGTATGCAAGGCAGGTGTTACGTTTCATTAGCTGCTATTGGATAACAAAGAACTATTTAACTGTTGATTTTTGTTTTTGAGAATACCACAGGAAAAGCCATATTTGTTATGTTCTATGCCAAGAAAAAAGCACAGCTGTACAGGTACCAGAGGCAACTGGTGTACAGCAGCTAGACTACTGCTGCAAGCATAGTGATGGCAAAGTTCCCAGATCTGCAGCTTGGTACAGATACATTACAATGAATATTTTATAAAAGGTGAAATAAACCACAGGAAGCAGAAGCTTTAACTGAATTTTTTTTTCCTCAAGTAAAGATGTGACAGTTTAATTAAAGTAGAACCTAGCAGGGTTAAGTAATAATAACATGAATAGTATTTTATGGGAATTCACCTAACCTAGATTTGTAATCTTACAGGTTAAAATAAATCAGAATTTTTAAAGGTGGGGGTTTTTTCCCTCCAATGGACTCTGCTCTACAAGATATACAATATGGAGAGAAAAAGTTGTGCCATCCCATGACAGTTTTCATGTTCTGAAGTATTGTATGTTCAATACATTTCTTATAATTCCAAAATGTAGTACATTTAATGCATTGAAGAGTTATGTGATAACGGTTTTCTATGACGTGACTCCAGTATTTGTCACTGTGATTTGGCGTTAAATCAGTAATTATTGGTATGAATTGGGGTCACAGGGATAAACCAAGGGATTTTGTTGGCCTCCTAGTAAGAAGTTTGTTTTGAAAGGTTGTGCAGCCTGCCTTTAACAGTTAGCACCTTACATCTTTAAAGTCAATACCAACCCGCTCACTCTGCCAGTTGTGCCCTGACTGCTTGGACAGGTTGATGGCCTAGCTTCTCCAGGTGTTACAGGAGGGCTGCAAAGCAATTGATCAGGTCCATTAGAAATTTACTGTATATGCACAAGGCGGTCATCAGCATGGGCTAGCAGGAGGCTACAGAGGCTTGCAAGTGGAGCCAGCTGCCATCAGGACAATTTATATTCCAATTCTAGGCTTATTTATCAAACAATGACACTGTCTGTCTCTACCTTTTCCCCAGTTTGGGAGTCTGTTGACAAGTATCAGTTAACTTTGGCATGTATTTCAGAGATGCTGAGATCCTATCGGTTTCATGAAAATGAAGGGTTTTCTCCTTTATCTGATATTGTCTTTCTGGGTAACAGCACCCTCCTGGGATATGTGTGGAGGGGGAACTCTAGGAATCACTCAGAATTTCCTCCCAGGTTAGTAGTTTTCTAAACTTGCTGAGGAACATCAACAGACCAGGTAGAAATTTACACATCATTGTATGTATATAATTTTTTTTCTTTAAACATAACTTTGTCCTTGATCACTCTTTTCCTGTGGAAGGTACAGAATTGTGTCTTTAATCATGAACTATGATGGGATTCTTTCCAATGTTATTTTAGTACATCAGTCCAAATTTAGTGTAATAAATTTTGTGCTACTGTATTTTCAAGAAATGTATGACATATAATCATATCATGAATAATAACTCAATTTGTAAATTTTATATTCGCTAAACTAAGATACCAGTTTTGTAAGAGTCTGGCCTCTTAGTAGCAAGGCAGTCATCTTTAGATGGAGTGTGTGATTTGTAATATTTAAGTCGTGAACATCTGACAATGCTGTTTGTAAAGAGCATAACGTAAGTGCAGAAAAGTTAAATTTAGAAAAAGATATTACTAACTGTAAAGATTTAAAGAATTATTGTTACCAGAATTTTTTATACTGTAAAGCTTTCATTTATTGATCAGAAATATTGGGAAGGGGCTGTCAGGTGTCATAAAGCAGCCTTTTCATTATGGTACTGCTTGTGAAAGCCAAATATTCTCAAAGTTGCAAAAAAACCATGTAATAGGAAGGCAAATGATGCTGAAAGACAATGCTGCACTTCCAGGAGCTGTCAGGCTAAAGTCTCTCCTCAACGTAGATTCAGTGACTGGAATAGATACATTGCGATATGAAAATGCTTCCCACATCCTAACATACAATATATACTACAAGTTTCAGGAAGTGCATGGTAAGTAAATATGGAAATACGGCTCTGCATCTGTGTATGACTGGGTTCAGGAAAAAAAGAAAACTTTTTGTGTACTTCTTGACAGTGATTCTGTCACTCATATTGTGGCTGAGAACAACTCTTACCTGGAGGTGCTGGACTGGCTGAGAGGACAGACTGTGGGTGACAGCTCCAGGTTTGAACTGCTGGATATCTCCTGGTTCACAGCCTGCATGGAAGCGGGAAGACCAGTTGATTCAGAAATTAAGTATCGTCTCATGGTAAGAGACTCTTCAGTGTGAATACAGTGATTGATTTTTTGATATTTTTTTTTTTTTTTCCCAAAGACACATGTGTTGTGATAAAATTTTTTTAATTTAAAAACCTGTTTCCCTAAAGTTTACATGAGGAAGTCGCACAGTTTTAACAGATTAAAAAGACCTTCCATATCTTCTGTATCAGTGTCTGGTGCTATTAAAGGGGAAATAGCCATCAGTGAAGCACTTGCTGTTGTTGTGGTGCTTGTGGTATTTCAACAAATAATTCAGTGTCATGGTAAATGTCCTGCTGAGCGCAGTATGTTTTAATGGGTTCCTGATAGAATACTTTGCCTCTTCAAAACAATACAAAAATACTAAAACCTTTGCTGTTTGGAAATGATCAGCTAACTGCTGGACCTTTGAAGGACCTGTGAAAGAAAAGCTGCTGCAATCTGTGGACATACAATTACAAACTTGGCGCCATCAAGTAAAACTGTGCTAAGAAAAAAAGGTTTTATAATATTGTATTATCTCTCAGTGGGACCTGTAAGTCAGAGGATATTATGAATGGCAGGCTGATTATTCGGTGAATGATGTTTGATCTTGAAACAATGGATGATGACCAATTTTCCTCTGATCTACATTTGATGAAAATTACGTGCTACTTTCTCAAATTGGAGCGCAGTGTGAAGTGGTGGTATTCAATGTCCCCAGTACAGAGTGTAAATGAAGAGGGTGTAGTAGGGATGCTCAGGCGTGCTGTGCCCAGTGTGACAACAGCATGTGCTGCTGGGTGTGAAACAGACACTGTGCTGCTGTGGGACAAACCTGGGCCTGCGTGCACTCAGGACTCATGGGGATGGATTTAACCTCCACTGGTGAAGAAATAAATTCATATGTCAAGAGAATTACAAGGCTGATCTAAAGTTCTCTGAGGGGAGAGGTTCCTGATGATTCCTGAAGATCTGGATTGGGCTCCGAGTGAACTGTGAGCCACCTGCAAAATGATAACTGGGTAACCCATAAACCCTGGGACAATGGTAGGATCTGCAGCCTGTACCTTCCTGTGAGGCAGATGATACCTGAATATTTAACAGCAACATTGCACTGTTTACTGCTTTGTCATCCTGGTGTTCAGATTATGAAGGATCATTCATAAATACCACCCTTCCCCAAGAAAAACTGTGGCTCCTGAATGTCTTTTTCAGTCATCTTTCATTGCCAGAAACTATTTTCCAGGGTTTGACAGATAAGAATTACTGTTTAATAACATTTTGGGGCAGGGGGGAAGGAGTGAATACACCAGATGGAGCTATCGCTCTCAGACTCAGCATAATTCCATGATGGAATAGATGTATTTGCAGTCCTTCCAATGAAGTATTTTTGCAGTATATTTACAATATTTTCAGTGAATCTGCTTAGAGGGAGAACAGACCTAAGAAATTAATGCAAAATTGCGAAAAAATGGCAAAGCTTGTAACTACTGCATTAAGTAATCTCACAGGCAAACAGGTCATAAAAATATTAATTAATATAAAGGGGAATGCAAAGAAGTTCTCTAAACAAGAAATAAATCCAAAACATGAGCAAAATCTTGTCCTCTTTGCTGAGAATTTCACATCAGGATTAAAAAGTAAACCAAATTACCCATTATGTACATTCTTAATTTCAACAGTGCATGAGCACCTATAGATTCGGATATTTCAGAAAATGTCTTAATGTCTTTTCATAGATTTTTTCTTTTTCTTTCCAAAGCAAGAAATGCCTTTATCTTTCTCCAAGATGTCTCCAATGATGCTGAAGCTTACTTTTTAAATCAATGAGAAAGCCACTGCAAATCGAACTTAGTTTTCTTTTTTTGTATAATAGTCCTCTTGGAATACTGCTGGAGCAGAAACTTCTGAAAAAGGTAGCAGCACTGTCAGGAGATCATTATTATACTTTGAGACTGTCTCTGCAAGTAAGCTTCCCTTTTTATTTGAACATAAAGAATTCATGCTTATAATGTAGAGTGTAAAAAGCAAGCCAGTCAGCTGTACTGTTAAAGCTTATAGTTAAGACCAGACTTTATTGTATAGTGGCTCTAAAGTAATAAAGATTTTTTTTTGATGCAAGCAAGGAAGGAGAAAGAATTCTAGTAATTCAGCAAATTTTAAAATAATTTTATTGTTGCAGTGTCACCATGCTTTTTTAAATTTATTTTTCTGCCTTGAGAAATGAGGACGGATTGAACTAAAGATTAATTTTCTTTTTAAGTACTATACTGACTTGTACATAATGTAATTTAATTGGATTTCAACGAAGACAAATTTGGTCCATTATGTCAGTCTTGTAAAATATGAAATGAAAGTGAATCAACAAACCTTGAAAGGCTACATCATGAATGCTTTGAAGAATGGATTGCAGTGGGGGCATGTTTTGGGTGAATTCTCATCTACTTGGTAAAATTCCCATTAATATCAATAGCAGTAAGATTTCATTTTCATATCTTATAGTGGCCTGTTTGGAAGGCTGTTCTTCATTCAGACATTTGCTTTAATGCATTACTAAAAAGAAATGTCCTTCTCCATGCAAAACGAGGGGAATAAAGTCAGAGTTCCTGACCATTAGCTAACATATTAATTACAATTGTCACTAAAGTACATCTTTCAGTGGTTGCGAATGATCTGAGAGATACACTGATGTTAGTGATTTATAGAGTATAAAATGTTGGGTGACCAGATCTAGGATGATCTGAATTCTTATTGATTCATTTGGTAACAGCTGACTTTTACAGTTAATAGCCATCATTTCATTTAATAGGCTACGGAAGTGTGGTAGCCAAACATCCACTTTAAGGGGAAATTAAAATACTTTTTGGTAAAGAAATACCTTTGTCCGGAAACACTTTTCCCACCACAAACAGATGGGTATTCTGGACAATAGCAGGACACGGACATTAATATGGATGCAAGGGAATCCCCACATGCTAGAAAGTAGTGCTGTTTCCTGGGTAATGGAAAAGAAAGGAGGGGAAGCTGTCAGAGAGATAAAGAGAAAGGAAGAGAACCACAAGTGGGTTCTCATCCTCAGCAGCCTTAGGAACTGTGCCGTGGCTGCAGCTCATCTGCCTCTTCCTCAGTCAGAACCCAAAAATTGTTAGTTGGTTATTTTTTTAGAAAGGAAAAGAAATCTATTTCCTTGAACAAAGGATTTCCCTCCACATTAGGAAAAGGAAATACTGCATCTTTTGATGCCTTGCCATATCATGTAACAGGCAACTCCTATTTAACATTTTCTGGAGGGTCTCACTGTTACCTCATGAAAAGAGAGGCTCTAACTAATGGAAGAAATCCTTCATACTGACAGTTAGTCTCCCAGAAAATAAAATGAAACTTATAAACTGGCTGCCTTCTCTTCATAAAATGCTGCATATCAGTAGAACTTACTGTTTGATCAATGCTGTCTGGACTTTACAAAGCTGCTAGCTGTTGAATAATGTGGCCTGACACAATCTCTAGTGTCTGTGAGCCTTATTTGCTGCTGCTCTGTTTTCTCTCTGTTATTTCCTTATGTAATTATAGTTCTTTGTTTATGTATTTAAAAAAAATATTTTGACAAAGAGCAAAGTAGTCCCCTGCAAGATTAATTCTGCAACTAAGTCTCTCTGCTGCACAAACTGATGCTAGTGGTACAGGCTGATTTTCCCACTTATGCCATGCAGAAAATGTCACTGTGAAGGAGTGACAGTGACATTCATTGTTACTGCAGCCTGGATGTGGGGTACGAGCTCTGTCTAATTCTAGCAATTAAATAGCCTACATATTTGGATATTTTTCAGTGGTTGCCCCTGTACAGTGTGCAATAATTTTATCTTAATAGAGTGGAGTTACCTGCAAAAAAAGGAATTTTGGTCCTCACATTTTTCTCATATCTGTTGTTGTTTCTTCCCTGTGCTACAAATTATTTTGAGGCAGTGTGGGTTTCCAGATTTGCTTGTTCTACGCTGTAATTGCTACTGGATGAAACTTTAGGTTTGTCCCATAATCTGTACTAATGATTTTATCCCATCTGGTCTTCCCACCAAAAAGCAATATCAATCCTTTTCTTATGTTCTACTGATGACAGGACATCAGCTCTGTATTTCTCATGCAGGCACCATAATATTTCACAAAAATCAAGCTATAGTAATTACTGTTTACTAGACGTTTTTGGTGTTTATTTCTAGCTGAAGTTTATTCTCTTGTTATATATAATCAAGTTATATGATCCTGTTAATTAAAAACATAACTATTACTGATTAAGAAAAATGCTCAAATACCTTTGCTAAGGCAGGAACAGGATGTTTATGTGCCAGTCTATCACCCTTTTAAACACGTAGACTTTTTGCATTAATTTTTCTCTCATCCACAGTGCCAGGTAATGCTACATGTAGGGTTCTTGTTCTTTGTGTATCTATGTCCTAATGAAGAAAATAACTTATTATATATTTGGTAACATTCTGTTTGTTCACCATCTTTGCAGCTGGCACTATCACTTCAAGCAGTATATTATCTGTAAACAATCGTAGTTTATATGATTTAAAATAAATTTTAAAGTATAATTCATGAATGTGTGCAAAAGTGGATGAGTTGTCCTATTGATCCTGGCTGAAACCCTTTTCAGTTATTCCCAAGAGTGGTCATACACATAAAATAGCTTCCTTCATTTCAGTGTATACTATGAAAACTGCCATATAATTCACTGCTCCTTCAGCTGTGCAAGCAAATGCCTTTTTTTCCTGTGTGTGTGAATACTGTTATTGAACTACTCTATCAAATACAAAGGCAATTTAGCATGAAATTATATGTGCAGGGGGTGTGTGAAGGCACATACGTGTATTTATAGGCTTGCCTAGCACAGATGCCAGCTTTATGTCTGCGTGTCTTTGGAAACAGGGGAGAAAGGGCTTATCATTCCATTATTGAAGTGAAAATTTTCTCCATGTATCTTTGTGATGTTTTTTGTTGTTGCTGTTGAACAATTTCATTGTGGCTTTTGAATAGTGCAATGTGTTTTTGACAGATCTGCCGAATGTTTTCAGAAAAAATCACAAATAGCAAATAGTACACAGAAATACTGAGAACACTGTTCTCAGATTGGTTCAGATGGGCACTTTTAACGAAAGCAAAGAAATTAAAGGATTTGGTATATAAAGGAGCAGAAAAGCTGGTGCTAAATTGCCCTTTTCCTGTTGCTCAGTTGTCAGGACACTTGCATTTTGAAGACTCATGTGAGGGACTCTTGCCAATGGGGACATGACTCTGTGCATCCTGCCTTTTCAGGACTATTCCCTTCCCACCCAACAGGCTTGGGTTGCCCGCAGACTTTTTAGTTGATCTTTGTTGATTTTTGCATGGAGCAAAATCAGGTGAAAAGCGAATGAACACGTAGATAACCTGGTGCTTGGGAAACTCCCATTTAAGATTTGGCACCTGGCTCCTTTTTTTCACTCTGCTGAACACCTGGCAATGGTGTCAGCATGTACAGAAGTGGCTGAGTGAGAAACCACATCAGAAGGTGAACACTGGCTGTCCAGGTGATAGACTGCAGAGAGAGCCAGGACCACTGGTAATGGGTGGCAGCTATCAGAACTGCTGTGTGAGATGTGAACAGGTGAATGATTTGCTCAGCCCGGTGGTAGAGCTGAGAGACGAAGTCAAAAGGTTGAGGTGTACTAGGGAGGAAAGCAGCCAGGGTGTAGTTACCCCTGTATCCATCCCAGGTCAGGCTGAAGGCAGAAGCCTGAATGAAAAGAGTGAATGGATGCAGCTTCATGGTCGGGGCAGCAGATGAACTCCCCCCTTGCCCTGTCTGGTACCTCTGAAGAACAGATACAATGTTCTGGTTGAGGAAGGCCAGTCGAGTGAGGAAGTAGATGATGGGCACTCTACACTACAGATGCCTCCTAAGTCAAAAAAGCGTACACCCCAGATCCTCACCACACCCAGAAGCAGAAAAAAAAGGGTTATAGTTGTTGGTGGCTCCTTCCTGAGGGGGACGGAGTGCCCAATATGCTGATTCCTGGAGCCCAGGTTAGGGACGTCACCAGGAAACTTCCTGGCTTAGTATGGTCCTCAGATTATTAGCCGTTATTGATTTACCATATAGGTGGGGAGGAAGCTGCGACTCGCAGTTCAAAAGCAATAAAAAGACTTCAGGGAGTTGGGAAGGCTGATGAGGGAATCTGGAGCACAGGTTATTTTTTTTCCTCACTTCTTCCGGTTGCAGGCAATGATGCTGGGAGGAACAGATGGATCCAGTTGATTAATACATGGCTCCATGGCTGGTGTCACTGCCATAACTTTGGTGTCTTTGAAAATGGATTGGCCTATACAGCACCAGGCTTGCTGACATCAAATGGGAGACACCTCTCTCAAAGGGGGAAGAGGGTTCTTGCCCAAGAGATTGCAGGATTGATAGACAGGACTTTAAACTAGGTGTGAAGGGGAAGGAGGATAATAATATCAGGCTTGTCTGCGATGAGCTGTGGGATATCTCTTCAGGGTTAGAGGGACAGGGTGCTAGAAAGGGCCTTCAGCCTGTTGCCCTGAGGCAAGCTGGTGACTGCACTGCAGACAAAGTCTTATGGAGATGAACCAGCAGCTCCTGAGGTAGTTGAAGTCAACAGAGAAACACCTGTGGGTTGAAGTCAACAGAGAAACACTTCAAGGGGTGTTCCACGAAGAAGGTGACACAGCCAACAGCCCAGCTGAAGTGCCTCTACATAAATGTGCACAGCATGGGCAACAAACAGGAAGAGTTGGAAGCTACCATGCTTCTGGAAAGCTATGATATAGTGGCCATCACTGAAACCTGGTGGGATGAATCCTATGACTGCAATGTGGCTATTGAAGGCTCCAAGATGTTCAGAAGGGCCAGGCGAGGAAGGAGGGGTGGAGGTGTTGCCCTCTATGTTAAGGAATAGATAGAGAGTGAGAAGTCCCCAAAGCCCTCCCTGGGGTCAGATGAAGAGAGAGTTGAGAGCTTGTGGGTGAGGATTAAGGGGCAGGCCAATATGAAAGACACTGTTGTGGGTGTTTATTACAGGCCACCTGATCAGGATGGGAAAGTTGATGAGGCCTTTCACAGTTGGCTCAAAGTTGCCTCACAATCACAGGCCTTGGTTCCATGGGGGACTTCAATCGCCCTGATATCTGCTGGAAAGGCTACACAGCCTACAGTCCAGGAGGTTCCTCCAGTGTATTGATGGTATCTTCTTGACACAAGTGGTAGAGCAGCCAAAAAGGAGAGGTGTAGTACTGGACCTAGTACTGACAAACAAACAGGGACTTGTGGGGGACATTAAGGTTGGGGGCAGCCTTGGCTGCAGTGACCACGAAAAGGCAGAGTTCAGGATCGTGGGTAGTATGTGCAAAACAACAAGTAGGACTGAAACCTTGGATGTCAGGAGAGCTAACTTTGACCTCTTCAAGAAACTGCTTGTAGAAATCCCATGGGTTAGGGCTCTGGAAGATAGGGGGGCTCAAGAGAGCTGGATGATATTCAAATACGACCTTCTCCAAGCTCAGGATCAGTGCATCCCTAAGAGCAAAAAATCAGGCAAGGGAAGCAGGAGACCAGCGTGGTAGAGCAGGGAGCTTCTGAAAAACCTCAAGTGGAAGAAGGGACTGACCACTTGGGAAGATTACGTGGATGCCATCAGAGTATGCAGGGATGAAACAAGGAAAGCCAAGTTTTTTTCAAGTATATTGGAGGGAAGAGGAAAACAAGAGAAGATAGGGGCCCACTGTTGAGTGAAACGGGTGCCATGATAACAGAGGATGCAGAGAAGCCAGAATTGCTGAATGCTGCCTTTGCTTTGGTCTTTACTGCTCAGGGCAGCCCTCAGGAATCCCAAACTTTGGAGGTAACAGAGAAAGTCTGGATGAAAGAAGACTTCTCCTTGGTTGAGGAAGACCAAGTTAGGGAACATAACTGGATATCTGCAAGTCCGTGGGTCCTTATGGCATGCACCCATGAGTGCTGAGGGAGCTGGCAGAAGTCATTGCTGGGCCGCTCTCCATCATCTTTGAAAGGTCCTGAAGAACAGGAGAGGTGCCCGAGGACTGGAGGAAAGGCAATGTCACTCCAGCCTTCAAAAAGGGCAAGGAGGAGGACCCAGGAAACTACAGGCAGGTCAGCCTCACCTCCATCCCTGGAAAGACGATGGAGCACCTCATTCCGGGCAACACTTAAAAGCATATGGAGGAAAAGAAAGCTATCAGAACTAGTCAACAGAGATTCACCAAGGGGAAATCATGTCTGACTAACCTGATAGCTTTCTATAATGGCATGACTGGATGGATGGATAGATGAGGGGAGGGAGGTGGATGTTGTCTGTCTTGACTTCAGCAAGGCCTTCAACACTGTCTCCCATAACATCCTCATAGATAAGCTTAGGGAGTGTGGGTTAGATGAATGGACAGTGGGTTGGATTGAAAACTGGCTGAAGACAAAGCTCAGAGGATCGTGATCAGTGGCACAGAGTCCAGTTGGAGGTCTGTAACAAGTGAAGTTCCCCAGGGGCCAGTACTGGGTCCAGTCCTGTTCAATATATTCATCAATGACCTGGATGAAGGTCATTGAGTAGCCTCAGCAAGTTTGCTGATGACACAAAACTGGGAAGAGTGGCTGACACACCAGAAGGCTGTGCCGCCATCCAGAGAGACCTGGACAGGCTGGAGAGCTGAGTGGTGATGAAATTCAACAAGGGCAAGTGCAGGGTGCTGCACCTGGGGAGGAATAACCCCCTGCACCAGGACAGGTTGGGGGCTGAGCTGCTGGAGAGCAGCTCTGGGGAAAAAGACCTGGGAGTCCTGGCGGACGACAGGATGACCATGAGCCAGCAATGTGCCCTTGTGGCCAAGAAGACCAATGGCATCCTGGGGTACATCAAGAGGAGTGTGACCAGCAGGTCCAGGGAGGTTATCTTGCCCCTCTACTCTGCCCTGGTGAGGCCCCATCTGGAGTCCTGTGTCCAGTTCTGGGCTCCCCAGTTCAAGAAGTAGAGGGAACTGCTGGAGAGGGCAGAGCAGAGGACTACAAAGATGATGAGGGGCCTGGAGCATCTCCCTTACAAAGAGAGGCTGAGGGATAAGGGAAGGGAAGGCAAGGCAAGGCAAGGCAAGGCTGGGGGGGCATCTGATCAATGCCTATAAATACTTGAATAGTGGATGTCAAGAGATGGGGCCACTCTTTTTTTCAGTGGTGCCCAGTGACAGGACAAGAGGTAACGGGCACAACCGTGAACATAGAAGTTCCATCTAAACATGAGGAGGAACTTCTTTCCTGTGAGGGTGGCAGAGCCCTGGCAGAGGCTGCCCAGGGAGGTGGTGGAGTTTCCTTCTCTGGAGACATTCAAACCCACCTGGACACATTCCTGTGCAACCCGCTCTGGGTGGCCCTGCTCTGGCAGTGGGGGTTTGACTAGATGATCTCCAGATGTCCCTTCCAACCCTATATCATTCTGTCATTCTGTGAATGAAATTATGATTCTTTTCTAGATTTTGTAAATGTTTCCTTTGCTTTATAATGACCCTGAAATAGAACTTATAGCTTAATGAATTAAATCCAAACAAAAAAAATGTTTTCTTTCATTTTACCCTGAAGAAGGGGGAAAAGGTTTTTTCAAAGTAATACAAAATTTTTTCCTCCACCACTGGATTTAGCTACAGATCAAAAAAGTCAGTTTTTTGGGCATGTCTATTTTAATTTTGTTTTCTCATTGGTCGAGCATCCCAGATGTTATACTGAATCATCTAGTATTTTCTGGGAAAACTCTCTGTTCTTTTAAGCTTATCTAGTCTTAAAGCTTTGCAATTTTTCAGTCTTACTGAAAATAGTAAGTACATAATAAGTAAAGTAAGTAAATAATACTACTACTTTTATTACTTACAGTAATAAGGGTAGTAGTAGAGATGCTTGCCATGCAGAGAGACTTTTTTTTTTTTTTTAAATGACAGTGCCATTGAAAACTGTCTGAATTTACTGCAGAAAATGAAAAAAAGCCCAAACCCAAACAGTAATCACCAGATAAACCGCTATTGTCAGTGCAGCCAATGTGAAGTTAAATATTTTTCCTAGGAAGATGGTAGGAGCATTATTATTCTCAAGGTACATATTTTGGGCTCATGAAATGTATTTTTGATGTTTTGTGCTGACAGGTGTGTCACCTACCCTTCTCCCTTTTCTTTTTTTTCTTCTGTTTAGGAACAAGGTCGGTCTCCTCCTTTGAATACACCTGAATCAGAAATGCCATCATTTGTTGCAAGTGAAGTACCTCAGTATTCGTGCCAAAGGAAGACAACATTAAATAATTACAACAAGAAATTCACGGTAATATTTATTCTATCCATGAAATAAAAACTAGCACAAGTAAAATAATTAATACATTACTTACATCAATATTTTATATAGCAAATTCAGGAGTTAAACAGGAAGCACAATGATAATAATTAAAAAAACTTATAAATCTGCCATACTTAAATTAAAATTGAGTGCAAACTAAATTGCATTCTTTAAGTACTGCTGAAAGCTTAACACAGTGGATCTTTAAGTACAGTAATAGCTTGTAAACACATGAATTTTTAAAACAAATGATAGAATAATATTCTGAAAATGTCTTTTAGCCTTTCATCACAGTCTTATTTGACATGTTGGAAGTAATGATAAGCAAAAGTTTGGTTTAGATCAGTCAAAGATACTTCACAATTGCTGTGCTTTCTTCTCCTTTGCCTAGGTATTTGTTTCTTCAAAGGGTGGTTGTAAGGTTTAGATTTTCACAATTGCTTAGTTTTGGAAACAGATTGCATGATCAATGTAATTATGTTCATATGATGAAAAAACACCTTAAATTGTCCAGTTAAATAGAAATCTTAGAGACTGTCATATATCCTATTTAATGCTCATAACATTACACAGTTCAGTAGGTATGAAGAGCCTGAATCATCTGGCTCTTAAGTCTAACTTCCTTTTTAGTTATTGTGCCTAATGACTCCTTTTGGCTGGCTTTAGATACTCAGTGACAACTACTCAGTAGGAAACATTTGGCACAAAAACTCTAATGAATATAGTCTGAATAAATCTGGCAAAGTTGCATTCATACATTTACATATAACATGAAACACCTCCTCATCTTCCTAAAGTTCTTTTTATTTATAATTGTTATGCTTTTACTTTGTGTATGTGCCTATAAAAACACTCAAATCTTTCAAATAAATATTATTTGTAAGATCCATATAAAAAAATTAACAACAGATACTAGTAATTTGAGAATAGGAAACATTTAAAAAGTAGATACGAAAACCTCTGGGAATTCAGAACTATAGCTTAACCTAAGAGCAACTTCAAAATGTCTTCATCTGAGAATGCACAGTTAAAAATTAATCAACCTAAATTTTGCCTTGTAGCGATGCTTTGAAATAATCAACAGTTATACTGATTATGTGGTACTGACGTAGTTTAAACTGTCTGCTTATTTTAAAAAAAATCCCTTTTTGAGAAACCTGATGGGAATTGGGTCTTGACCCTGCTTTGAGCCTGAGGTTGCACTAGAGACCTCCTGAGGTCCCTTCCAACTCCAATGATTCCAACATTCACAAAACTGCTTCTTTTGAATTGACTAGTGTGCCCCAACTCCCACAAGGCTGTGAATGTTACCATTTAACCTCTTGAAAGCAGTCATTCTTTTTCACTGTTTACAAATATCAAATACATGCTGCTGTAGGGGAAGATGTCAGGCCAAATATAGTATGACCTAAAGAATCTGTAAAACACTGTCCTTCTTGGAGAAATAGGAAGTAATGGCTTAGTTCTACACTTCCAGAAAGCGGTGGAATGTGGGAGTCTGGCTCTTTGTTGAATTTTCTGCAGTAGGACATTTTGTCAGTAATTCTGAAGGTAAAAAATAAAAAGTACTTGTGATGGATAATGGCAAAGTACAATGGATACTTCCAGAAGGCACAAAGTTGTTGTTGATTTTTAATTATCGTTAACATTTTAGCACAAAAAAGTTCTAGAGTAAGGTAATTCCCTTTTTTGGGTTTGGGTTTCAGAGAGAAATTACTGTTAAATAGTTTATGTGGAGGTGGGTGAGATGTGAGTTGACCCGCATAACCTGCCAATGCCATGCAAAGGGCATCTGATTGCTGATAAAGCCACTGTAAATATACTTCTGTCACTGGCAAGCAAATGGATACAAAATCTATCTATCTATACCTTTTAAAATAATTTTCAGTTTTTGACAAATCTAATATCTTTATTTGTGAAGTCACACAGTACTTTTTCCTTTGTAAAAACTGTGTGCTGTAACTCTACTGAATATATAGTTTGTCTTCCAGCAATTGAATTACCTGAATTTAGTGCAAGATTCAGTTCAAAGGATAACTATGACAGCAGCAACATATTTACTGAGTGGCTTCTCTTATACATGTGTTTCACAGAGGCAGTCCCTAAATTAATTCCAGATTCATCATTGCAGCAATAGTACTGTCAGAGCACAACTTGTATTTGATAAGTGAATTCACCTGAACACGTTAGAAGCAGAGCAGTTCAATGACTGAAGCACTGAGACTTCCTTCTGTTATCCCATATATCAAACATGTCCCAGTCTGGGTAGAAAGGAAGTTTCTTAGTGACAAAGGTGGCAGTTTTTCATTCTCACACTTTGAGAGTAACAGTTCTGAGTTCATGCTGTATTTTATTTCTGGAGGTGGTACTGGCCAAGGTGATAATGCATGTAAGCCTGTCTAGCATCTGCATCTTGACAGTTGGAATATAACTCCTTAGGGCTGTTGCTCTTTTTACTCACAACTGAAGCTTGCAAGGACAGCTGAAGGCTTGGGTTTATGGACTCCATTCCCTGGAGGCCAGCCATTCTGCTTTATGTCAGAGGAGCCTGATTTTCAGTTTTGCTGTTGTTTTGCCAGACTTGTATTAAACCTGTAATTCACATCTTCCAACAGATTTTTTCAGTGTGAGCACTCAGTAAATACACTGAAGCATTGGTACAATTCACTTGTGAAAATTAGGTCCAAACCACCTTGAATTTTGTGTTGATGATAGTATTTTGTTTTAACAACTTTATTCTATGAATCAGGGTTGTTCCTTTTTCTTACAGATTTTTCTGTTTTGTTTTTTTAGCTTGAAAATAATGTCTTTTTATCTTGCCTATAATAGGGCCACAAAGCTATTATTTGCTTATGTGTCCTCGGATGAACTCATGGATTCTTGCTTTTACTGGTTTTGCCCTGATACCCTGTATCAAATTCCTCTTTCAAATGGGTAGTAGTTATGTTTGAGAAAGAGTAGTTATTTTTCATGTCTTTTAGTCTTTTCAGAAGAGCAGGAAAACAGTCACTAATAGGCAGTGACATGCACACAACAAAGCTTTGAATGTGCTGATTTCTCGGGAAAGACACTTTTGGAGATTTGGTTTCTGGAGAAATTGGTTATTAGTGATCAGTTTTAATCTCAAGTCCTGTTCTGTATATATTTTACCCTTAAAGTCTATTTATTAAAAGCAAATTCCAGAGATACATGATGAGAGCTCATGAGGACAAGGTGGAGTTTTAACACACTAGATGCAGTTTCTCTGTTCAGCTGTCCCATGTTTCCTCTCCATTGTAATAGCCAGAAAATAATTTAAAGGAAGATGCAAAAAAACCAGTTTTACATCATGTAAGAAGCTACAGAAGAGTTGACAAAGACTGTGCAGATGTGAAGGTTTCATGACTCTCTTCACTATGAGGCACATCTGAGGCACATCCTACCCAATTTTTTTTTTTTCATTTGCTTTAATGCATTACTAAAAAGAAATGTCCTTCTCCATGCAAAACGAGGGGAATAAAGTCAGAGTTCCTGACCATTAGCTAACATATTAATTACAATTGTCACTAAAGTACATCTTTCAGTGGTTGCGAATGATCTGAGAGATACACTGATGTTAGTGATTTATAGAGTATAAAATGTTGGGTGACCAGATCTAGGATGATCTGAATTCTTATTGATTCATTTGGTAACAGCTGACTTTTACAGTTAATAGCCATCATTTCATTTAATAGGCTACGGAAGTGTGGTAGCCAAACATCCACTTTAAGGGGAAATTAAAATACTTTTTGGTAAAGAAATACCTTTGTCCGGAAACACTTTTCCCACCACAAACAGATGGGTATTCTGGACAATAGCAGGACACGGACATTAATATGGATGCAAGGGAATCCCCACATGCTAGAAAGTAGTGCTGTTTCCTGGGTAATGGAAAAGAAAGGAGGGGAAGCTGTCAGAGAGATAAAGAGAAAGGAAGAGAACCACAAGTGGGTTCTCATCCTCAGCAGCCTTAGGAACTGTGCCGTGGCTGCAGCTCATCTGCCTCTTCCTCAGTCAGAACCCAAAAATTGTTAGTTGGTTATTTTTTTAGAAAGGAAAAGAAATCTATTTCCTTGAACAAAGGATTTCCCTCCACATTAGGAAAAGGAAATACTGCATCTTTTGATGCCTTGCCATATCATGTAACAGGCAACTCCTATTTAACATTTTCTGGAGGGTCTCACTGTTACCTCATGAAAAGAGAGGCTCTAACTAATGGAAGAAATCCTTCATACTGACAGTTAGTCTCCCAGAAAATAAAATGAAACTTATAAACTGGCTGCCTTCTCTTCATAAAATGCTGCATATCAGTAGAACTTACTGTTTGATCAATGCTGTCTGGACTTTACAAAGCTGCTAGCTGTTGAATAATGTGGCCTGACACAATCTCTAGTGTCTGTGAGCCTTATTTGCTGCTGCTCTGTTTTCTCTCTGTTATTTCCTTATGTAATTATAGTTCTTTGTTTATGTATTTAAAAAAAATATTTTGACAAAGAGCAAAGTAGTCCCCTGCAAGATTAATTCTGCAACTAAGTCTCTCTGCTGCACAAACTGATGCTAGTGGTACAGGCTGATTTTCCCACTTATGCCATGCAGAAAATGTCACTGTGAAGGAGTGACAGTGACATTCATTGTTACTGCAGCCTGGATGTGGGGTACGAGCTCTGTCTAATTCTAGCAATTAAATAGCCTACATATTTGGATATTTTTCAGTGGTTGCCCCTGTACAGTGTGCAATAATTTTATCTTAATAGAGTGGAGTTACCTGCAAAAAAAGGAATTTTGGTCCTCACATTTTTCTCATATCTGTTGTTGTTTCTTCCCTGTGCTACAAATTATTTTGAGGCAGTGTGGGTTTCCAGATTTGCTTGTTCTACGCTGTAATTGCTACTGGATGAAACTTTAGGTTTGTCCCATAATCTGTACTAATGATTTTATCCCATCTGGTCTTCCCACCAAAAAGCAATATC